CATGCGTTTCACAATTTGAGTTGAATTACTGAAATAAATGAACTTTTCCACGACATTCTAATTTATTGAGATGCACCTGTATATAAAATAAATCTCCTGTGGGAAATAAGGCGTCAAATAAATATGTCACAACTAGCCCGGTTCTCCTTTATAAGCAACAAATATACCTAATGCATCACAACACAAAAAAGTGGAAAAAAGCACCTGAAAAACATGTTGAGCAAATCACATCACAATGAACTCATGCATATGACAGCATTTCCTCAGTCTCAGTATAAATCAATACAAATGCAGAGCCAGGTGCCTCATCCAGGCTGGAGTAATCATGACACAGCAGTCCTGAGCTCAGAGGAAGAGGATTTTAGATAAGTGGCCCAGAAAACAACTACTGAGCAGCTGCTGATTGAATTCTGTCTCTACCACACACACACGCACAGACAGAGAGATAAATACATCTGTGATCTCTCCTAAGATATTCAACGCACAACCTATAAAAGCCCATACCACACAGACTTATGCACTATTTGAATATAAGCCATTAAATCTCACCTCTTATTGAGAGTTGCAGTGAAATCTAGAATCCCTGTGATAACCTTTACTGCTGTCTGCAGAATCTCAAGGGAAGGCAGAGACTTAAGACATCTGGACATGCAGGACAGTCAGCGAGGACACGTTTCGAGCCAATGAGAATGCCTTCATTTTACAAGATAAAACCAACAGGAAAATAATAAACTGGGCAACAACATCCATTCCCTCAGCTACCGAATAATATCATTCGTTTGGTGGAAAATGAATGTTGAGATCAGTGTAACTCTGTACTTGTACATGAGTTGCACATTATTTTCTGCAATAATGTGACATTGTGAGAGGGAACGTAATTAATAAGCCTTAAAATATTAAACGTCATGTGCTCATTTGTAAAGGACATTTCCTGAGGGGCTCCGCAAATCGAAATACAATTCCAGCTTCACTTTGAGGATAATAAAGCCCATACACGTGATCTTACTGAACGTTTAAGCAGCTGTCTTGTTTGATGGAACATATATAGAATATAGATTAGTATTACATTACGCCGCTACCTGAGGTCATGCACAATGGAAGACTATTCAGTTCTGTTCCAAAACCAAATATACTGCCTACCTGGACAGCATTTAAAGCATCGCAGGCAAACTGAAGATGCCAAATGCTAAGGCAGCATTGTATGCAACCTCTTCTTGCAATCCCAGAATGCAATGTGCCAAAAAAGGTAGCTTTACACAGTCGAGTTAAGGCTGCTTATTCAGTGTAAAGGCAGCAATGCTATTGTTAACTAAGCTAACACGATTAGCAAT